ATGGGATACATGCTCATATCTTCTAGTTCCAGTTATCAGTCTGATGCATGAATTCTGAAGTTTTTGCGATCTACTTTTGTCGGTTTGGAGGAGATTGGGACCATATACGACATCAGCAAAGTTGGCATGTGACAACACCAAAGATTCACATAGTAGTATTTTGGTCTTTTTGTTCAAGACTGTCCGGTTTGAATATATCATTTTTAGGCTGCTATATCCACGTTTCAAAATGTGAGATACATGTTTTGTGAATCTCAGGGAAGTGTCCAAGTAAAGTCCTAAATTTCTTGACACATCCACAAGGGGAAGCGTGACTGCGTCTGCAATTATATTTACTCTATTCGCAAAACGTTTGCGCGATATTGATCTACCGAATAGCATCACTAATGACTTCGCAGGGTTAACACTCAGGCAATATTTCGCAGACAATGACATCAGAGAATTCAAGTCATTATTAAGTTTCTCTTGTGTCAGATCGAAAGAGCTTTCATCAGATTCTATGTAAATTTGAGTGTCATCAGCATAACACATGATGGACGAATGTTGAAGACAATCCGGACACTGAGATGTATACAGCACAAATAGCAAGGGGCCCCATATGGAGCCTTGAGGCACACCATTGTAGATATTGATGATATTCGACGACTTGTTATTCAAAGTGACACATTGAGATCGGTTTTGTAAGTAATTATTTATTAATTCAGATGCATTTGATGTAAATCCCAAGTAATGCAAGAGAGATATAAGAAGAACATGATTGATGCGATCAAACGCCTTTGAATAGTCCAACAGTACTAACAAGCAAAGTTTGTTGTTGTCCATTGTTTTCTGTATGTCATCAACTACTTTCAACAATGCAGTTGTACAACTGTAGTTTGCACGAAATCCAGATTGGCTAGATGGCAAGATATTATGTTCATTTAGATAATTTCTCATTTGTGTATTAGTTATTTTTTCAAATACTTTGGAAATTGCGCACAGAATACTAATGGGACGGAGATCACTAAAGCTCTCTGGGTTCTGTACTTTGGATAGAGGCAAAACATGGGACTGTTTCCAAACTGACGGATAAACATTGTGTTCGAGACAGTGATGGAATATGTGAGTTATATAAGCAGTTATGATAGGGCAGCAATGTAATAGCATTTTAATACTTAGTTTGTCAGGACCGACCGCATCAGATTTTATGCTCAGTAGCGACTTATATACTTCAAATTCATTGGTGACATGGAAAGAGAATGTGGCCTGTTGTTTTCTGTTTTCTCTGAAAAATGTAATGATTTCTTCATCAGGTAACAAGTTGTTATTGTTGATGCTGCAGAAATAATCATTGATTTGATTTACATCAGATAGATAATCAGGAATAGTTGTATTTGATTTTTTGTTGTGAATGTTTAGGTCTGCTAACCCTTTCCAAATTTGTTTTCCATACCTGAAGCTATATTCCAAGTATGCCTTTTTCTCAAGGTTTATAGTTTTATTCGTGAGATTTCTCAAATCCTTATAGTAGGTCCAGTGATGTATATTGTTAGTTTTTTTATATCTTATCAGAGCTTTATCTCTCAGTTTCATCATCAATTTCAAATTATCGGTTAGCCAAGGAGATTTTCTTTTTGAAATTTTCACCGTTTTCACTGGTGCATGGATATTAAAAACACGAAGAATATTAGAATTGAGGAAATCAACTTTATCATTTATATCGGGTATGTTATAAATTCTATTGAAATCAATATCAGCCAAGTCATTATCGAAATCAGATTGGTTAAACCGTTTAAAATCTCTGAAACTGTATAGGAAACTCGGAGTCCCCGTTTTTGAGCAACCTACTTTACAAGATACGAGTCGATGGTCCGTAAATGTACTACAGTCGGATGTAGCACAGTCGCTTACATTCAAATTTTCAGAGCATATTATGAGATCTTGTAGCGTGCTACTAGTTGCACTAACCCGCGTCGGTTCGTCAATTAGTTGCTTTAATCCGAAAGAATCTAAGACATTATGTAAGCTAGTGCACGATGCACTCGTTGGATCAATATAATCTATGTTGAGATCACCAACACATATGAGATTATCGAATTTTGGACTGAGAAAAGACAGACACTCCTCAAACTCTGACAAAAATTCAGGAACAGGAAAATTTGGAGGTCTATACAGAATCGCAAAGGCAAACTTCACTTTGTGGTGTTCAAATGAAAACCATAATTGTTCCGTGGTTCTGATGTTCAAATTATTAATTAAACAGCCCCTGATGGAATTTTTTATATAAACAGCTATACCTCCACCTCGACCCCCACCACTTCTGTCTTTCCTCAATAGTGTGTAACCTGGCAATACAACAGTACTACTGAGTATGTCTTTGTTCAACCAAGTTTCTGAAACAGTGATTATATCAAAAATGTTGAAAGTTTTCTGTTTGAATTCAGCAAAGCCATTTACAATCGATCTTGTGTTGATGTGACATACAGTGAAGCCTGATGGCATTATCGACCAAAATGTTAATGAGCAAGATGAGGAATAAAGAAAATAATTATTTTAGCGTAGTTGAAATAGGTAATTACATAAATTGGATATGAAGTTGTTACAGATATTATAGAGGAAAGTATCAAATATATAAATAATACAAGGTTAGTAATGGCTTATAATTTCTCTGGATTCTTGACTGCTCGTGCTCGACTTTCTCTAATAGGTCGTTTTGCTTCAGATTCAAGTGGAGAAGATAAATCTTTCCTCTTTCGTTCTTCCGCACCCGTGCTTGAGGTTGTATCCAGTATTGCCGAATCCAATTGTAGTTCTTCAAGTGTGTATTTATTATTGTCAACTAACAGAAAATTTTGTTTTATAGTTGCCCGCGATCCGTTCTGCTTAGCTTTGTTCAGATATGGCCGAAGACTTTTGTTTATAACTTGATCTTCCTTACTCAAATCATTGGAGATGAAAATATTCGTGTTTTTCAATTTATGAGCGTTTCTCAACACTTCGCTCTTTTTCATAAATGATAGAAATTCAACTTTCAATAATTTCTTACTGCCTCTAGTTGGAATGAAAAATACGTTATTTATATCACAATCGTTGATTTGTACTCCCGTCCTCTCGCTTAAAGTAGTAAGGCCTTCGAACTCATCAACAGACTCCAATCCAAAAACAATGATATTATTCTTGCGAGAATTGCGGTCCAGTTGACAGATTTTCTTCTTGATATCAGAGTTCTCCTGCTCCAATAACGATATTTTATCTTTGGCAGCCGTTAATTCCGCTTTAATTTCAGATAATGTCTCCTGTGTCTTGTCAGATTTTGAATTCAGCGAGATGAGTAAGGCATGTAAATCTCCCAGTGTTATTTCATTCGGCATTTTGATATACAACACGTTTAAAGTATACCGACCGTACTAACAGTGAATCTACGAAGGTAGATAACGTTTTTCGTTAGCTGGGTTTTTTGTTGAGGAATTTTTTGTCTCTTACACTTTGTGGTTCTTCACTTTCAATAAATTATTGCACTATTTGAAATGCATTTATATGCAAACAACACTTTGATCATCAGTTGCAAGTATGTTGACTTACTGACTTACTCACCAACTCTTTAGTGACATTCAGGCGTACATTTTATATTATTCGGTATGTTAATAACTACACTAACAGTGATTGAAGACGGGAGGCAACACCAGCACACCTGTTCACTCTCAAGACAAATTGATATTTCCAAATGTTGTTTTAACTATCATTTTCCTGAAAGTTTGATCATGAAAACCAGAACACTAGGGACATATGTCTCTGAAAATGTATATGATTTCGACAGTGAAGTGTTGGATATGGATATTTAATCTATGATATGAGTGTTGCACTGAGAATCAGAATTTTATTTTTTTATTTCTGGTCTACATTACCAAAGAATGTATGTAGTTTTATTTTTATCAAAATATTTAATATAATGTTGCTCCTATTACTACGATAATTTATATGCATAGGTACTGGATCTTTATATAGAATGATGCACTGAGAATTATATTTTTATTTTTTCTGTTTCATACATTACCATATAATGTATGTAGTTTTGTTTTAATTAAAATATTTCATTTAATGTGGCTCCTATGTAATGATTCATGAAACTATACATACACTTGTCTATACCATTTTCAATCACGGATATCCCGCGTAGAGTATTGAATTTGATATTTGACAATTTTTTATTTAGTAACGTCAACGTCACATCATCACAGAACTGAAAAATCAAACTTCTAAACTCTAATGGCACAGAATACAGACTAGAGATGAATTGATAAATACTCAAAGATATTACTAAAACAAGTATTAAAAAAGCTGGGAATAAGCTAGATTTTGAAAAATTTTCGCCTGCGGCGCCATTTTTTTTTACATCTAGCTTTTTCCAGCTTATTCCCAGTGGCAATATGGCGTTTTTCACCAACTGGTCGTTGGCAACACTGCAGTTTCAAGGTTACTAAATCAAAGCATCTCTGGCAGTATTGCCAACCGTACTATAATTATAGTACACGTACTATAATTTTGATGTTTTGTACTATACAATTTTAGAGTAATCATAGTACGCGAATTGTACTATAATTGAGCAAAACGTACTATAATTGTACTAGAATCGGTTCATATCATTGGATACTACTAATAGTACTAATTCATGCTATAGTTTTGTGGTTCAGAAAAAACACAACCTTAGAAATTATACTGACATTGACGTACCCTATGAATGATGACCACAGAACTCATTATTTATTATCATAATATAGATAAAATATGAGTTCTGAGTTCTGTGGTGATGACTGATGCTGATGACATGGAGGGTTCCTAATTCCTTAACATTTCCTAACCTAACAAACACTATAACTAAAAACCTCTAAAAACCGATCGGCTGAACTTGGACAGGACTAAAGCCTTGAACTATGAACAAAAACAAATTTAGGCAAGGTAAATGATCGAAATCGAATCTGAAAAAATCATAAATAAAAGAAAATTACAGAACAATTGACAATATGGCCAGCTCTGGAGATGATGGAAGCGATGTTTCGGATTCGGAAGTTCCTGTAACACCAAAGAAGAAATCGAAGTTTCAACAGAACTATAAGAAGCGTACTCAACGGTTTCGAAGCGAATGGGAATCCACATTTAAATGGGTGAAAGCTGACCAAAAATCAAAAACCAAAGCTTACTGCAAGGAGTGCAATACAACCCTAGCCTCAGAGCTATATATTTTGAAATATCATGATGCATGTAAAAGACATAAAGCTAATCCAGAGGCCAAGAGAAGCAACACAACAGTTCTAACCAATTTCACTCCGACTATTAGAAACAATAATGTGGCAGTTGCAGAAATCAAAATAGCAGGATTTTTTGCAGAACACAATTTATCATTTTCAGTAGTAGACCATCTTATTCCCCTTTTGAAGGAAATTGCTCCTGATTCTGCTGTCATAAATGATATGCAAATTGGAAGGACAAAGCTGACAGCTCTAGTCAAAAATGTTGTTGGTTTACATTAACATAAGAATGAATTGGCAGAAAAACTCAAGCAATCAAAATTCAGTATACTGACTGATGAATCTACTGATATCTCTTGTGGAAGAACTTCATGTATAGTGGTCAGGTACTATGACCCTAAATCATGTTCTATCGAGAGATGTTTCTGGGAGTTGGTGCAGGTATACAATAATGAAAATGTGCAGGATATCTCAGCAGCTAAAGCTCAACATTTGTATTTAGTTATAGTAGGATCTTTTGAAAAAAAAAAAAAAACAAATTCCATTTGAAAATGTTATTGGTTTCGCCTCTGATGGGTGCAATGTAATGATGGGAAAAAATAATAGTGTTGATTCAGGTTTTATTGAAAATTTTCCAGGGATTGTTATCATGAAATGTGTTTGCCATTCAACACATCTATGTGCTAGTGAAGCTTGTAAAAAATTGCCAAGGCGCTGTGAAGATATGGCTAGAAATATTTATAACCACTTCAAGTCCAGTTCCAAGAGTCAGCATAAACTCAAGCAATTTCAAACATTTTTGAATTTAGAGATCCACAAAATTTTACACCCTTCACAGACTAGGTGGTTGAGTTTAAATGAAGTTGTATAATGCGAATAATTGAGCAATGGGATGCTTTGAAGCTTTATTTTACCAACACCTGGATAAGTGACAGACTTGTTGCTACGGAACAAATATTTAATGATTTGAATGATCCCTTCATGAAGCTTTTTTTTTTATTTCTTATTATGGATTTTACCGAAATTTACTGATTTTAACGAATATTTCCAGTCAAAAAGGGTTGTTATCACAGAACTGAATAGTAAAATAATTGACTTATATTCAGATATTTTGATGTGCTATATGAATCGTGTTCATGTTCAAACTACAGCTTTAGAAAATATTAATCCATCCAATGACACCTTTTTTATACCTTTGAAGAATATATACTTCGGTGTGGATGTTATGAATCAACTAAATGATGATGAAGTAAAAAGACATCCGGCGTTGATTGAAGACTCCCTACTAAGGTGTCAACAATTTTTGATTACATCTTGCCAAAAAATTAGGAAACGGTTTGACTTCAATAGCGGCGTAGTTAAACATTTGACATTTTTTTCAATAGAAAATGCACTTTCAAATGAATTTAGGAATCATTATCCTACCCAGCAAACATTGAACAAGCGAGAGAAGTCCGGCCTAGTGCAGGCTAGTCTGGGAAAGTGACGATGCCGGGGTATTGGTAATGGGCCGATGATTTTCCTATATCAAGTAACCATCAGTTAAAAATACTATTACGATTTTACTCTGGGTCCGTAATAATTTAACACTCGGTAGAACACTTAAAACGATGTATTCTGAACACTACTATACAATAATAACAATACTCGTACTAAACACTTCCGATTCACAACACTTCTTCGATCGTTATTATAACGCTTCCAAATAATGACTTCCCTTCCTGTCCCTAACAACAACTATTTATACTACCTAATAAAACGTCTAGATTCCACTCGAAATATCGTGAACAGGTCGATAATCTTCTCGAGTCATCTCAATAGCCGTCGATCCACTTCATTTCTATTCCAAGAAATACGGTTCATTTACTTCCGTATCAGGTAGCTGGGATTGATCGCCAGGGTCGTAACATTTACCCCCTTCTTCAAATTTGATCGTCCCGATCAAAAACAGAACTTTCCTCACCATGATAAGGCTTCAGTCTTTCAAGATGAACGACTTTCATCTTTGTCCTAGGGCTGCGTTGGATTCTATAGACCACATCATTGATCCTTTTCAACACCTTATACGGTCCTTCCCAAGATGGTGTTAAAGTGTGTTTGTTAAAAGTGTTTTTAACCGCCAGCTTAGTTGCAAAGCAACCCTCGAAAGTCAGAGACTTTGTGTTGTGTTAATTTGGGTGATACGCCTTTCTTCCGTCGAGGATTATACAGCCAAACTCGATCTCCTTCAAAGAATCCCTCTGAATTGGCTTTGAGATCGTACCGTGCCTTCATTTTGTCACTTGCTAATTTCAATCTTTTCCGAGCAGTCTCATGAGGTTTCATCAAGCCATTCCGGAGCTCATCTGCGTAGTCTTGTACTCCCTTTTCTTCAACACTTGGTGAACCGAACACCAAGTCACAAGGTAAGCGGAGTTCTCTTCCAAATACTATACTTGCTGGAGTTAGCTTCGTTGAATCATGGACAGCTGCTCTATACGCCATCAGGAATAAGGGAAGATGCCTGTCCCAGTCCCTCTGATGCTCTTCGACTACTTTGGAAAGATGTTCTTCCATAGTTCGGTTGAATCTTTCGACCATGCCATCGGATTGTGGATGTAGTGGAGTTGTTCTCGTCTTACTGATTCCCATTAGATCACAGACCTTTTTGAATAAGTTCGACTCAAAATTTCTCCCTTGATCAGAATGTAATTCCATTGGTACTCCGAACCGTGAAAACATGTTGTCGACCAATATCCTGGCAACTGTGGAGGCTTCTTGGTTTGGCATGCCGTATGCTTCTACCCACTTACTGAAGTAGTCCATAGCAACCAAAATGTATTTATTTCCATCATCAGTCAAAGGGAATGGTCCGGCTACATCGATGGCGATCCATTCAAACGGTGCACCCACATTGTATTGCTTCATTTCAGCTCTTGATCTCGTTCTGGGACCTTTACTGGCTTTGCATACAGGACATCTTCTACACCAACTTTCCACATCGTCACGACATTGAACCCAGTAAAATATTTCTCGAATTTTACTCAATGTCTTGTTAACTCCAAAATGTCCACCAGATTTTCCGCCATGGACTTCTTCCAGACCTTCATTAACTCTGATGTGGGGCACAACCAGCTGAGAAATTGTTGATCTACCATCAGCTGATTCCCAAACTCGCTTCAATAATCCATTCTCCACAACTAGTGAGTCCCATTGTAACCACATCGCCTTGAAAGCAGGCCCTCTATCCGAGATATCCTTCCATGTCGGTCTTTCTGTTCCTCTTTCTTTCCAACGTAGAAAATCGGCGATATTCGGATCGTTCTCCTGATCTCGTCTCATGTGTGCTGCTGTCCACTTATCATCGGTCACAAGTCTGGTTTTTCTAACATCAGCGGTTCCTTCTCGATGTTCAATGAGCAGACAATGCTTACAGGTTTCCGAACAAGGTCTTCTGGACATGGCATCTGCATTCTGGTGTAGTTTTCCTGGGCGATGCTTAATCTTGAAGTGATACTGGTTCAGCTTTTCCAGCCATCTTGCTATTTGACCTTCAGGATTCTTCATCTCCATCAGCCACCTCAAAGCTGCATGATCCGTCCTAATGAGAAATTCTCTTCCGTATAAATATTTGTGGAAATGGTCAACAGCCTTAACAATTGCCAGCAGTTCTTTCTGGTGACACAATAATTCCTTTCTGGTTTGGCCATCACTTTGCTGTAGTATTCTATAACCTTTTCTTGACCATCCTGTACTTGTGATAGCACGGCTCCAATTCCGATGTTACTCGCGTCTGTGTCCAAAATAAACAAGCCTCTCTCTTGTGGGAACCCCAAAATAGGACTCGAGCAGAGGCCAGCCTTCAATTTCTTGAAGCATTTCTCACATTCTACAGACCAGTTGAAGTTGGCTCGATCTTCTGTCAAACTATGGAGTGGTGCCGCAATATCAGCAAATTCTTCCACAAAACGACGGTAGTAAGTGCACAATTCCAAGAAACTTCTAACTTCATGTTTGTCCTTCGGTCTTGGCCAGTCTCGAATGGCTTGAATCTTTGTCTCGTCAGTTTGTATTCCTTCTGACGTTACCGTGTGGCCCAAGAAATCTACTCGTTTCTGGAATAGTGAACATTTCTTCAGGTTCAGTTTGAGGTTGGCATTCCTGAATCGCTGGAACACTTCCCGTAAGTTCTTCAGGTATTCCTCGAAATTCTTTCCCATGACCAAAACATCGTCCAGATATACCAGGCAAGTTTTCCAAGTGAGCCCACGCAGTACCAATTCCATCAGCCTTTCGAAGGTTGCTGGGGCATTACAAAGTCCAAAAGGCATCACAGTAAACTGGTACAGTCCATTACCAGTCGTAAAAGCAGTCTTCTCCTTATCTTCTTCGTGAATGCCCACTTGCCAGTATCCGCTCTTCAAGTCCAGTGTCGAAAACCATCGGGAGCCAGCCAATGTAGTCAAAGTGTCATCAATCCTTGGTAACGGGTAGCTATCCTTCTTGGTGACGTCATTGAGCTTCCTATAATCCACACAGAATCTTGTGGATCCATCCTTCTTGGACACTAATACAACCGGTGCAGACCAAGGGCTGGATGATTCTTCAATTACCCCATCCTTCATCATTTTGTCAACCAGCTGTTCCACCTCCTGTTGCTTAGCAAATGGCATTCTTCTTGGTGGTTGCCGAATTGGGTGAGCTTTACCAGTATCTATTCTGTGCTTGACCAAGTTCGTCCGCCCTGTTGATGTTGATTCAAAGATATCACTTTCGTCTGCTATGAATTTCTTGGCAGCTTTATATTCTGTTGGTGATAAGTAGTCCAAGGAGGTTTCCAGAACTTTCATTGCACTGTCATCTCGTTCCCTCCATCTCTGCTCGTTAGTCTTATCACATTTTGCTACCCAACTGACTGGTTCACAAGCTCCGATAATATCTCCTTCCCTTACTGTTATGGTGGTAGGTAAAACATTTGCTACCCTCACATCAGGAATGTCTCGTTCGGTGGTCACTAAAGCTCGGGCAAGTAACAGCTTGCTGGGGGATTCCTCACATGACTGTACTTATCCAACGCAGCACCCAGGGTCCTCTTCTAATCGCGCATGGATGATCTTCTCAGTGAATCCAGGAATTCTCAGTCTTCGCTAGTCGTAGCCTCACAGACGTCTCCCTCTCGGCCGGTGTCGTTAGTACAAACTCTTCTCCTCCAAATTTCATGATCTTCTGATCACTGTCGAATGAAAACCCGTAGTCACTTATCAGATCCATGCCGAGGATAAACTCATCTTCGATATCTGCGA